GAATTTGGTGGGCAGAAGGGAGGGAATGGGACAGAGGGCAGACGGCATGGTCATGTCGTCTAGGGGGTATGCTCTATCGTATTATTGTAGGGTTACAGACTGCCCTCACGAGAAAAAGGAAAAGAGAAACAGGAAACACAAGTGCTGTCGCTGATCCGAGGTCGCGCCCGGTATTAGGTACATGTCTAAGCTGTCCATCGTAGGAATCCCAGTCTCTACCAGCCGTCATTACCGTCGTCTACCGAGGCTCATCCGGCCCATGCCCAGTATTCCTCAAACGCCAACGCCGATAAAACCGAAGGAGATTCATTGCCATCTACAGCGACGCAAATACCCGGTTCACGTCGGGCTTGGGCTTGGGCTTGGCCTCAACCTCCAGGCCCATGTCTTCCTGAAGCTTGGCCCAGGAGATGGCGCCGCGGCCTGGCGAGCTCCTCGGGCACGTCGGCGTCCGTGTCAGCCATGCGGCGGTTGAACAACTCCAGGCTGACCCAACCTTCAAAGCCGAGGTCGTGAAAGAAGGCCCTGGCGATCTCGGCGACGGGGAGATAAGCGCCACGGTCCTGTTCGCCGTAAAACAGCCGGCAGTTGCGAGACCAGGTCATGCGGGCCCGGCTGGTCGGCGTTGTAGAAGGGATGACCAGGGTAGCAGCGGTCTTATCGAGGGCGCTCGTGCGTCGACCGACCTGGACGTAGGAACACTTTCTTGAACGTTCGACGAGGCCTGCACCATGTCAGCGAATCGACTCGCGGGACGGCTTTCCTCGGCGTTTCTCCGTCTTGCCCCGAATACTTAAGCGGGGTCGGGCGTAGATGCGACCGGCGATATTGAAGGTGTCGAGGCACATGCCGAAGTTGGGGCGGTCGACACGCTGCACAACTTCCCAGCAGAGCTCCCAGGTGTCGATACGGGTGCTCCAGCAGAGGCTCTCGTAGGCGAAGCGGATGGGCGGGTTCATAGCCAGGCCCATATCAGCGACCTCGCGCAGGTCCGAGACGATCAGGCTGATATCACCCGTCACCTTGTCGGCCGGAAGAAAGTTGGCGGGGATCTGGATGATATCTGTTCCGAGCTGGCGGGCGAGATTGAACCAGAACTTGAGCTGCTTCAGGCGATCTTGGTGCTCGTTGCGGTCGACAAGTCCATCGTAGTGGCTAAAAGGCTGGAGACAAATGATCTCGATGCTACGATCCTTGCAAAGACGAGCGATCTCGCGAGCGGCAGCGAGTTGGGCCTTCTGAGACGGGCCACTCAAAGACATGGACTCGTCGCCACCCTTAGCAACGTCGGCGAGGTCCTCGTGGAACAGCTCGATGCCTTGGTACCCATACTTCTGGGCAGCGTCTAGCTTCGCAACAAATGAATGGCCGGCATAGCACCGGCCAAGGGACATGGACGTAATGCCGAGTTTGCACACCATGATGGCTTGCTTTAGGGAGAGGCAAGAAGAATGATACGAAGAAGAGAAAGCAACTTGGGTGCGGCCCGCGTTGCGAACAGCAGGTGGGTGAAGGCGGGATGTGCTTGACCAGAGTGGGAGAATAAATTATTATATATTTTGCCGCTGAAAGGTACTTAGGGCTCGGCAGAGAATTTTTCGTTGAGGAACGCTGTGAGGGGAATCTAGGTGCATGTGAAAAATTTCGAGGAGGCGAGGGGCCCTGACGGATCTTAAATGAGTGAAAGGTAATGGGATCAAAGGGAAGGCACTTGGACCTGGCACGACACAGGACTGGAAGGTAATACTGAAGGGAGAAGAAGTGTGGGGAGCCGAACACCTACGGTGTGAAAGAAAGTGAACATACTACTTACTACCCAAGGCTTCTGTGTCTGTTGGTGAAGTGACAGTTGGTTGGGCTATGCGTTTACCGCCCTTGTTCATCACCTCGACAGGTATCTTCCTATTCGCATGTTGGGCTGCCAGCTGAAACTGGCTACTTATAAGTGCCTTGTAGTATACCATCAGAAAAGGGCTGTGATCGCCGTGGCTTTGTCTGCCTACCTACACGTTTCTATCAGTAGACCCTTGACATAGAACTGTTGACTTGTTGTTTGGGATCCCGTTGCCCTTTTGAGGATCTTGGGTTAAGTTTTTCACAAGGACAGGCCAAAAAAGAGTACAGGTTCGAAAATAAGCAATGCAAGGTCAGTATCACCGCTTCTTCCTCGG